TTTAGGGGTTAGGGTTTAGGGCTGTAGGGGTTTAGGGGTTTAGGGTTTAGGGGGACGCAAATACTACAAACATACCCCAAACCCCAGACCAACCCCTCAGCAGGTTCTCGCTTCCGAAGAGTAGGGCAGGGGAGGGTGACGAGTTGGCTGTCGCAGCCTGGTTCGATGCAGCCAAAAGACCCAGAGTGTCAGCACTTAGCCTTAAAAAACCCAGTCAAATCCCAATAAGAAGGTGATGTGTACTTTGGTGATATGCGAAAACTTCATATTATATATATATATACACACAATATGGTGTGACCGTGTAGTGTTCAGGGACATATGGGGGCGAGCCTCGACGACCTGCACCCATACATGTCTTGCCTATCCGTTGGTGCTCGTTTGTTTCGGCTCCCACAAACCATCCCCTTGGTGCCGACCGAATAGCCGCTCTCCGTCCAAGATCATGACATCGCCATGCCTGCCGGCAGCTGACATAGCTCGATATCATTGTCAATAACCCCTGATACCCCAAACTTCCTTCAAGCTCCACTAAACAAACAAACCAAACACTCTGCATGCCCCAACCCGCTAAAACCTAAAACACATTAAAAAAACACTAGAACCCTTGAACCAACTAGAAGCGATCTGAGAACCCCACACCCGTTATAGATTGATCGAGACTCAGGCAGCCCTAACCCTAAACCCTAAACCCTCAGCCCTAATCCCTGAATCCTGATTCCCGAAAAAGAACCCGTTAAAGGAACCCTTGTAGCAACCCTTACAGGAACCCCCTTAAAGGAACCTTTAAACAGCCCGTAAAGGAAGCCCTTGCAGGAACCTTTAAAGAGCCCTTAAAGACTCCAAAAGAAAACCGAAGCCAAGGCCTGCTCCCCAAGACCCTGACGCTTGAAGATCTTAAGTCCAGGGTTCCTGTCAAAGTTACTAGTTATAGGGTTTAGGGTTTGGGGGTGTAGGGGTTTGGGATTCAGGGTTTAAGGTTTAGGGCTTTAGGGTTTAAGGACTGGGGGTTTAGAGTTCAATTGGGGTTCAGGGGTTAGGGTTTAGGGTTCAGGGGGTTTGGGGGTCTAGAGTAGAGGGGTACTATAAGGGCTCCAGACGCCGAAAGAGACTTGAGAAGGGAGGCTTCTTGAAGGAGGCTTGAGAAGGTCCCCCCTCCGGGCGAGAAAGAGAGGGTCGAATGTTGAAGAGTTGAAGGGGAGCTTGAAGGGGGCTTGAGGGGGGGCTTCTCAAAGGGGACTTCTTAAGGGAGACTTAAGGCGGGCTTGAGAAGGACTTCAAGGGGGACTTGAGAAGAGAGGTCTTCTAATTCTCGAAGAGAGCTTGAAAAGCCCCTTTTCAAGCCCTCTTGAAGCTTCTTGAGAAGCCCTTGCTCAAGGACTCTTCAAGTCCACAACAAGAAGAAAGCCGCACGAAATCGCTTTCGGTGGTTTGAAAGTAAAATACTTCTCCACACAACCACACGCAAGATAAAAACATTTTTTCCACATACAACTAGAAGAAAGCCACACGAAATCGCTTTAAGGGGTTAAAGCGATGAAAACAAATTAAAACAAGCAAAACTCCACACAAGAAGGGAAAACCACACGCAAGACGAAAACGTTTGAAGGAAGGGGGCACTATGAGCGTTGAGGGTTTCGGGCTTGAGCGCTGCTCGGGCTTTACGATCTTCGGCTTTAGCGTCCTAGACCCCTAACCTTAAACCCCGATTGAGGGCTTTGGGTTGTAGGTAGTGACGATTTGATGAGTTCGACGCTGAGCATGTAGGATCTTAAGACAAACCTTCTGAACTTCTGCTTAGGGTTTATCGGTTTAGGGTTTACGGTTTAGGTTAGAGCTTAGGGTGCTGAGCACTGATGACTCCGAACCGGAGCATCTAAACTCAAGATCCTGCGTAAGATCTCGAGTCTCCTCGCTCAGTGGTTGAGGGTGTAGGGTTTAAGGTTTAGGGTTTAGGGGTTTAGGGTTTATACTGCTTAAGAGTCGGAGTCCATCTTGCAATCATTACACGCAGGAGAGCAGCCCCAGGTGTGCTGTCAACTTCGGACCAACCTTCTAGGGTGACATGGTGATATAGCAGCTCATGGATATTTAGCGTCATTGAGGACCTGCTTCTCCGGATCTATCCTCGGATAGCATGCGTATTAGCAATGCGTATGATTGACCATATATCCCTCTTATGGTTAAGATGGCAGTTCCTTAAAACCCTAAAGCCTGAAACCCTACACAGCCTCAATAAAAGCCTGATAAAAATCCCGGTGCAACACCTACAAGACCCTAAACCCTAAACTTGGGTCCCGAGGCCAAAGATGAGCCCCTAAACCCCAATTAAACTCTAAACCCCTAAACCTTGCACCCTGAATCCTAAACATAAAATTAACACCGGGGGCCTTGAACTTCGAACAGGGCTTCGGGGGACGGTCCACTGTAACTAACATGAGGACCATCGAGGGAACAGCTTCTCCACTGCTTCGGGTTTAGGGTTGAAGGTTTAGGGTTTAGTCCGACCCCAAAAGTATAGCAAACCCTCAACCCGAAACCGAAATCGATCCGAACCCTCTGCGAGCCTCATCAGCATCCTCTCCCCCTCCACGGCCACGAACCTCTCAGCACCCACAAGATGGCTTTTTAGTGTTTTGGGCTTGGGGGTTTAAGGCTTCAGGGTTGAGGGCTTTAGGGCTTGGGGTTCCCAAACCCTAAACCCTAAACCCTACATGGCCCTATTTTGGGGGTGCCCTGCAAAATGCTTGCGAAACTTTAGCAGCGCCCATGTCCGCAGAGTGGAATATGGTTTAGGGTTTGTGGTGTAGGGGTTTAGGGTCGAGGGTTTAGGGGCACAATTAGCAATAGTATACATTCATGGTTTCTAGTCTGCTAATGCAGCGAAAAAAAACCCCAAGCCCAATTTCCCCATGTCTGTTGCCTCATGAGTGGCGAAACCACTGCTACAAGGGGGATGGCTGCAGCCGCATCCTTTAAACTTCAGGCTTGGACACTGGAGGACTTGGGCTCAGGGTTTCGGCCGCAGGCTTCATGGGCTTGAGGTTTTGAGGCTTAGATCTCCGGCTCACAGTTGCGAGCCCTAAACCCTAAACCGCAAAGGCTACGGCGGGGAGATGAAGAGCTGCAGAAAAACTTGGGCAACTTTAGGGATTTGGCTTTAGGGGTTTGGGGTTTAGGGTTGCTCATGGGCGTAAGACCTCAGGACTTCCAGCGGAGGCCTTCCCATCGAGCCAGAGCCTCAACTAAGGACTGTCTTCCTTTGGTAGTTAAACCCTAAACCCCAAACCCTAAACCCTAAGCCCTAAACCCCAAAAAACCCTAACCCCTAAACCCCTAAATAAGGACCCACATGAGGAGCCTTGGTTCAGGAATGTTCGAGTCTCTGGGGGTTCTCCATTTTGGGTGAGGAGTGGTCGCAGCGGGCAGTCCTTCTGCGCTTGACCTGTGGCGTCATGTATACATCTTGTGTACGACAGGTACGTATGTATATATAAATACATACATACACATACATAGCATAGCATATGCATATACTAGTACTTATTCTTGTACGTATACATATATACATAAACATATGCCTATACATGCATTAGCACTTAAATACCTTGCAGCTGGCTTCCTGGCCTTTCTGCACCCAACGACAAGGTCAGCTGCCGGCAGTCATGGACGTGATTCGGGCAAGCATCCTCGAGAAGCATTGCAGCTGGTTGCTCTTGTTTCGTGGGTGGTTGCGAAAATGGATGTCTGATTACGGTTCGCAGTTTCAAGACTTCCAACTGCAACATACCATCGGCCAAAGTACTTCTCCAACAAGACTGATTCCGGAACACCCACCGACGCAAGGCTTTGCTCTACAAGTTCACCAGCTACGGGGGTTCATAGGGCAGCACGGGACTGAGGAAATAGAGGCGGCACCTACCCAACCAATCCCAACCTTTGACGTGGTTTTCTGTAAACCGAACCCTAAACCCCTAAACCTTAAACCAAAACCCGTGCAAACGTGAGCTGATTGTCCTTCGCGCGGTCGCTCCCTCAACGAAAGCTCGTAATCCTAGCAATCCGAGTAGATCCCGTAAACCTGAATCTCGATTTTCGCCGCAGGCACTTGAGCCAAAACCCAAGTACACGTCAACCATGCATACAGCATGCAAGTGAAACTGTCCTGCTCCTAACCTATAAACCAACCCTCCAGTCACGCCTCCCGAGTGAAAAGGGACTCACTAGCCTTAGCCCTTATAAAGCCTAAATTACTAAACCCGAATCCTTAAATCCTAGCATCCTAAACCCGAAGGTTAGAATGTTCAGGGCTCCTAGCCGACACCAAACAATCCGACGACGGAACCACGAGGTCCTGGCCATCTTCATGCAAGCACCTGATCTTTTTTTGGGTTGGGGTCGTTTAAGTTGCGGCCTCCGTGGTTTCTGTGATCTCTAAAGGTCTTGCTCAGTGAGAGAAGATCCCACATTGTCTGAAACTTCCCTTTATTGTGCAGGTCCAAAAGCTCTTGCGGCAACAGTAACTGGATAGGGCATTCTCGGGCAACCCATGGGCAAGGGTTTTCGGGTTTAGGGTTTAGGGCAAACGGCCTCCATATCGGATTTCAGAGGTGTCGGATTGAGAGCCCGCTGAGGCCTACTGGGCGATTCTTCTGGCCTCGCTGCAATCTGTCGCGCCGTGCATGAGTTCTTCATGGGATCCGGGCTGCAGTCGTAAGTCGTAAGGAGTTCCAGGGAAAGGTTTTTTGGCTTTTCGGTTGCGGGAATTTGGAGACGGTGTGGGGTTGCGAGTTTCGAGTTAGGAATGTTCGGGTTGAGGCTTTTTGGGCTTGGGCTTGAACCAAACCCTAAACCCAAAAATAAAGACTCCTGGATGTGGTTGCTGGCGTTTAGTACGATGCCAAGTAAGCTGCTTGTCAGTCGTCATTGGGCACCCAGGCTATGACACCGTCCGAACCGGTTTATCAATCGTATAAGATCAATCAGGAGATTTCCTTCCGGGCTTCGAAATCTCGCTTCGGTCGGCTCTAGAAGCGGCGGGGAATATCAAGAGGCGTACCCGGCAACGTGTCAGAGATCACAAACTTCACTAATCAACTTACGGCACACGCTGACAGTTTTCTGTAAACTGAACAAGACGTGGCAACTACCATTAACACCAAAGCCTACACATCCCTAACCCGAGGGGATGAACCAATAGGGGCCCAAATCATCAGGGGTTTTTGGAGGTTGTGCCGTAATTACGCTACGAATTGCGATAAGAATCTCTGTGAGATAGTACCTTGAATCGTAGACTGACCTGAACCCTCAACTACCCTAAACCCTAAATCCACACCGAGCCCTAAATCCTAATCCCACGGTATGACCACCCGAAACCTTAAACACCAAACCCTAAGCCCTAAACCCCAAACCCCATAGTGCCAGCAGAGCACTAGAAAGCCCTAAACCCCAAACCCCAAACCCTAAGCCCTAAACCCCCAACCCTTAACTCAAAGCCCCAAACCCCATGCCATAGTGCCAGGCAGAGCGCAAGAAAGCCTGCATCGGCACGATGTTAGTGTCGGGATGGTCTGACTGAAGCCGGCCGAGCCTCCCGCACGCTTTCGGGTAAAGGGTTTAGGGTTCTAGGGTTTGGGGTTTAGGGTTTTAGGTTATAAGGTTATGGGTTGTAGGGCTTTAGGGTTGGAAGGTTTTAGGGTTTAGGGTTAGCGTTTAGGCTCTGCAGTGGCGCAGTGCGACATGAGCCTGAACATAACAAGGATGCTTCTGAGGCATAGACAGATGGCGAGACAGACAGACAGATAGATAGACATATGCTATATACTGCATACAACTTGTAAAACCCCTGAACACTGAACGTCATCAATGGAAACCTGAACAACCACAGCAAAACTAGCAGTTTTGCTGAAGAAAACCTATGTTGAATCATTGCCAATAAAGTCAGAAGACACAGAGCCCTAGGAACCAAAGCTGTAAATCCAAAGCAGCTAGTAGCCACAGGGGGCCCCAAAGCCAAGTCACAGCTTCTGAATGAGTCCGGCTGCAAATTTCCTTGATAGGTGGCTGATGAAGCCATAGGTGTGCGATGAACTAGTGGTTTAAAGGCATAGTCTGGGTAATGGATTTTCGGACTTGGGGGTATGTAGAATTCTTGGACGGAGGTTCTCCAGCGCGTGCTTATCGACTCTGTCCGGGCATTACCGCTGAGGTGTTGATTTAGGGCTTGGGGTTTGGGCCGTTTACCAAGTCGACAAGCTTACAAAAAGCTCGAGCCGTATGGGTGCTTAGGCCAATATCATGAATGTCCCAGTGTTTGCAAGCATTGTAGCCCTCGGCCGTGTCGTGCTCATCGACTTTGAGGCAAGAATAGCAATAGCAGGGTTTATGACAATAGCCATAGCAAGAACGCACTCAAGGACCACAATGACACTAGCAACGTGACCTTAAGCTTACAAGCCATGGCGAACATATCGCCAGTGGCAACTGTAGCATGCACTGGGAATACTCCGGATAAGAACCGTCGACAAGGACTGGTGGTACTACCGACAGTGCTGCATGACACAAAACAGCCGTTCGTCGTAAGTGCAGCTGTCAAAATCGCTCAAATCTCATACGTCAACTCTTCTCTAATGCCCTACTGTGTAAACTGTATTGCAGACAAGTCAACAGGTGCGGTGGCGGCGGCTTGTTGCAGTCGCCATCGAAGGTATACGACCCATCGCCTGGGAAAGACATTTGGGTTTAGCACTTGGGGGTTTTGAGGTTCTGGGTTTAGGTGCTATGCAGCTCTTGGGGAAGTAAGGGCTAGGGCCTTGGGCTAAGGGCAAACCACTCATCCTTAAAACCCTGAACCATACTACAAACCCTACTTCACAGGAAGGTGAGGAAGTCAGACCTAGCACCCAGCACTCCGGACAGACTGCAGCTTCAACGCCCTGAACCCACGGCCTCCATGCAGGTCCGGTTTGCGTGTTTTGGGTGCTGTATAAGCAGCAGATACCCAGCATAACTTTAAAGCCTCGAAAACTAGCTGACTTCATGGCCCTATGCTACCAAAGACAGTACCTGCTGAAGTCCTTCGTCCCAAGCTGCAGAGTCGTCGCGCGGTGCGCGTGTGAAGCTCCCTCCAGCCAGGGCTCTCTAAGAAGTTCGCGAACGCCTCCAGAAAAGTGGAAGCCGCATGATGCTTCCGCAGTACAACATAAAGCAAGTGCCTGCATATAGTACAAAAAAGACATGACCTACACTAAACGATGCAGTTGTCTACATGTTTTGGAGTTCTGTCTGCAAACTGAAAATATCTGTGTCTGTTCGTGTATGTATATAACCAAAAAAGTAATACATATATATATATATGTATATATATATATATCTTAGTAGTATAACATGGTAAGACATAACATGAATCGATACAGCAAATCACATTATAATGCAGCCAAATGTATAGATTGCAGAAATAGTACAACACAAGTGTGTGTGTGTATATATATTTATAT